TTATCTTACATTATTGTACTACTGTACATTCAGAAATCTTTCCGATGTTTTTTAGACATTTTCACCATGATCCAAAACCGAAATCGAAACAGAACCTGAAACGAAAGATAGATGAGTAGGTTGAAACACTCATCTGTAAATCTGTATATGTCAGTGGGAATTCAATCATTCTATTCATATAAACTGTTCAACATTTGAAAGAATTATATCAATGACTACTTGACACATCAATTCAATTGAATATTTTTAGTAAAGATTGATTCAACGTCTACTAAATACACTTGTTCAAGTTATATTCAACAATTTAAGATGCCGATATGACTTTATATATTATATACATGTATAATTCAGCATATTTCGTCGACGTGACTGTGCTGCATATAGTTAATTTTTCATTCGTCTAACGGAATGTTCTATATACACGTTTCCTGCTCGAATCTTATCAGTTGCGTTGTAAGTTTTAGATGATGGCTGATTTTCAATTTTGAAAGATGAACCATCTCAAGGTATATAGTGTCACAAGCGGGTGTTCAGATAGATATGTGGTGTTAAAAAGCAAGTGACAACTACGATGAAACGGTCATGCCTCCTCCTGACCTATCACGTCTATCAATTTGTTAGTAAGTGCGTTATTATTGTCACAAAGGACGCTTAATTTAAGATATCTTATTTTCTTTTATGTATCTTAAATATAACATGGGTTAAATCAATATATGTAATGATGTCCAAATACAATATATTCGCTAATTCAAATTTTGAACAAACGACAAGAAATATAAATTGCACAGACTAGTGTTGTTTTTTTTTTTCTTTTCTTTTTTTTCAATAGATATTCTTTCAGTTGATCTAGTTAGATCATCCAACCCAATTGCTACTTGCTCAATTCAAAGTTTGAGCAAAAGACAAGAGCATGAAATTGCACAGACAAGTGTTTGGTTTTTTTTTTTTCTTTTTTTTTTGCAATAGATATCATTTCGATTGATCTAGTTAGATCACCCAACGCAATTGCTAATTGCTCAAATTACTTGTAGATATCAAAGAAAACAAAAGCAATTTATAAATGTATTACCTACGAAGCGCTTCCAGTTCTATGGATCTAAATGTACCTTCATTAAGAAAGCTCATACTAAAACAAATGAAAGCCAAGGATTAAAGTACATGAATTTGAAAGGGTAAAAAGGGAATCTGAAAAAAAGAATGATGTTTCCCGTAAAGTTACCTTGTTTGGAAATACCAGAGAAATATTGATTTTGTCTCATCAGGTTTTCAAATCGATTATTACATTGCCCTCTGCTGATGAAAAGTATAATATTATAGCAGGAATTTGGAAAAACAGTAACCCCTATTGATTGCACCCCAATAGAAAATACAGAAAACCAGGCTCTGTTTCATAGTGGACATCATCACATACATTGCATTTATTCAGGTTATGATAGATATCTAAATAAAAACAAGATATCTAAAATCGGGCTTCCGAGTTTACCAAAATAATGCACCGACTTACACAGATTCATGCTGGTAATTCGTCTGATGTAGACATTACAATTTCCTCGATATTTTCGCCTACTTGTTGACATCATATATCTAGCTGAACACCCCATTGTTATACCATATACGTTCAAGAAGGTTACGTCAAGATGCGATTATCACGATCAACGCAAACTTATCAACGAAAAGACTTGAAAAAGAAGAATTGATGTAGAAAGAAACTCATCATAGATACTAGTACCAGGATTGAAATTTTGTACGCCAGACGCGCGATTCGTCTACAAAAGACTCAATATTGACTCTAGAATCAAGAAATTTGAAAATGCCAAATAAAGTACGAAGTTGAAGAGCATTGATGACTTAAAATTCCTAAAAGTTCTGCCAAATACAGCTAAGGTAATCTTTTCCTGTGTAAACTCATTTAACGAACGAAATTTATAAAATCATTAGCGATATTGAACCAATACATGGTATAACTATTTGTACCACTGTCCCTTCTACCATTCTTCATGCATAACTAAAGTTATACTGACATATTTAATTGTATACTACTTAATTTGTGTATTCAGTAAAAATTGACATAATAATCTTCATCGCTTGAATAGATTTATGTGAATTGATGTTTTATGTATTATTTGGTGTGATATTGTCAGCTTTAGAAATATGAAAATGAGTATACGAGTTGATTTCATTAAAACTTGATAAAACTTTTTCAATTCTCTCAACTATCGTTGGTTCGGCGCTTTTTCATAGGACATTTGCGCTTTTTACATAGGACATTTGGGCTTTTGCAATATTTTGCTTTTTATGACTTTCCTTCTCTTTTATCCGGGCTTGGGACCGGCAGGTTTGACCTGGCAGAGTTAAAGAAGTTAAAGTCATATTTTTCTTTATAGTTAAAAGTTTAAAAATCATTTCATAGCACATTTCATATCACATTTCATAGCACATTGGTATATGTTTAAAAGTTTATATACAGCTAAAAGTAAACATTCTAAAGACATAAAAACACGTACAGTCATCACAGGTCAGTTTTTGCTTGATATCTGAAGCCCAAGGAGTGAACAAATTTAGCCCTTGTAATCTGTTCTGTTTCCCCCACATTTCAAATAAATAATCAAGTTTCTCTTTCTCAATTCTTGACTTGGGTACCTGTTCATCAATATAACGAATCTTAATGTAATTCACCGACTGTTGTTCAATGATACTCTTCAAAAAGATAAAAATAGTAGGATGAGTCGAGTAGAACTGTTCATTATAGTGGGCATGGAAGGATTCTCGACCATTTGTCGTATGCTTACTGTGTGATAGCTGCTCGATCCATAATATTGGTGGAAATCGTGATTCAACTGTCACATAATTTTCTGACTAAAAGTCTGCAAATTTGGAACATCTGGTTTCTTTAGGTGCTTCTGCCATCATATCGTCAACAAATGAATCTTCAACATCTGAATCCAGAAGAAAAGAAAGTCCGAAAAATTTGTGCAACTATTTTCCCACTTCACCTGTACATTCCTTGTATTCTTAAGATAGTACTAATACTTGAATTTTTCTCCACCAGGCTTGGGACAGATGGAAACGGCAGCACTTCAAGGGGGCGGATGGGAATAAATTTCTAACAACAACCATGACCCGTTTTTCAAAGTCAACGTGAACAGTCTTAGGTTTCAAAGTCAAATTTCTATCAACACAAACTTCAACTAGCTTAGTAAAACAATGATGGTGTATTTCCTCAGACTTCACAGTCGACAGAATAAATACATGGGGAATATAGTTCCCATTTTTAAATCCATGAATGGTATAAAGCTGTTTAAAAAATATTCGGCAAAATTTAAATGTTCCGTCCATAAAAATTTCTTCAACATTACACAAGCATTCTAAATTTGTTGTATATGTAAAAATGATTATTCTGTTTCCTCTAGTGTTGACTTGAAGAAAATTTTCTATTTTTGTGGTCTGTACGGGATAACCTTCAAAGAAAGTGTGAACATCGTCTCTTGACTTAGGCAAATTCGGTTGAGATTTTCTTCTTACTCTGTACACAGCCGTTAATACAGACTGTAAATCCTTAGGATGCAAAGAATCCTCATCCACATCTTTCAATCCAGCATTATTTTTGATGGTCTCTGTGTAAGGTCGTCAGCAGCCTTCCGTTTGGCATACACTCTTAGCTGATGGCGCTCAATTTTTCTGTCATCACATTGTGAGTGATTATTTTCATTTTTCTGACTCAAAATATTAGTAGTCCCATTGTCCGTTTAATTCTAGCATTACAATTTTTCACGGTAAATCTCCATGAAAGATCTTCACTTTTGAGGGTTTGATCAAAACGATATAAAAATGCATCATGACATATACATTTTTTTCCTTTACAAGTCTCTATAACTTTAAACTCCATGTTTAAGACTGTGTTAATGTGAACTAACTAACGATAAATATAAGTTGACTTTATTCACGTTATGATTACAACTCATTAAAATTACAGGTAGACGACTATAGGTAAAAAGCGCAAATGTCCGGTCAATTTAATACAGGTGTATCAAAATTTAAAACGCAAATGTCCATAGTATTTGGAGCGCAAATGTTTTTTACAGGTAAAAAAGCACAAACGTCTTGTGCCCCGTTGGTTTTGGTATCGGTCCCGGTTTCAGTTTCATATGATGAAGATGTCTAGCATTACGCAAATTTTGTCTGGATAGATTTCACAAAAAAAAATAACATTCCAGAAATAGCAATAATTAATATCAGTTTATTGTCCATTATTCAAAAATCACAAATATACGTGCATGGTAACATTTCTGAATTTACAGTATATCTTTTTGCTTAATTAGTTGTATGATTACTTATATATCAATATCTTTCAGTAATGTTCTACGTGAACCAGTCGAGCAGATGTGTATGCCAATCAAGGAAAATGGTGAACACGCTGGCACACTTTACTTTCATATACTAGTATGATAAAACGATGTTATATAATTACCAATGAGACTAATATCAACCTATAAATAAAGGACAAATATGTAAACAACTACACGTCGTCGTACTTTCTTCAACATTTACGAAACATGTGTAGTAAGCTTTAAAAGACTTTGGGGTGACAAAATTTGAAACAATATAAAAAAAAGACCCACGGCCTGATAAATACTAAAACGTTAAACGAAAAAAAAAAAAATTCTGGAAGACAGCATTACACGACAATCACTGATGTACAGGTTCTTGCTTGGGGCAGATTTACTAATGTCTGGCTACTTACGAAAACGAACTTTATACGTTGTACTACAAGTTATATTGAAAGCTATTATTACTTTTCATTCATTTTTGTTTTTTTTTTAAGTATATTTCATTGAGGAAGATGACATTACAATGCACTATTTGTCCTTAGTGATCTTTTTTGGGTGTCACAATTACTAATAAACAATATTCATCTGGGAGATGAAGTTATTTAAAAAGAAACATTTTGATAACGATTCACGATGAGTTTAAAGGGCATAGTCTTTGTTAGGATATATGTAATGGTAACAGATATGACTGTCAGTGAGGTTTGCCAATACCCATGTTCCGAAATGACAAAAGAACTAAATGTTTTCAATAGCATCGAAAATAATATAACTTACACAAAGGAAAAGATCAAGTGAGACTCGTATATGTGTATAAAAGAACACGGCTTGAGACATGTTGATCAATTAGGAAATATTGCATCCCTTTGAAAAGATTTCAAATTCCAAGGAGGAGATTTCAAATACCTCAAGGTTATGGCGTTTTGTTTCTTTTTATAATATTGGCAGTGTTTTACGTTGTATTTGTTTCCAGTTTAACAATTATAGCGCAAACTAGTTTTAAATCTTGCTTTGCAGATTTACATAAATAGTTGATGCTAGCAGTACAGGTTTGTTGTTAACAAGACATGTTGTGGTTCTTATGGGTACAGTGTTGCTACAAAAATTTAGAATATAGCACATGGGCATAAAATTGAAATGTTTCGGATAATATGTATTTTGGGTTGATGACAATAGTACATACCTAACAAAAAGAATATCTTTTTATATACTGAACACAAAGTCTCTGTTTAATTTTAATGATATATTATGCAGAATAAATGACTAATTAAGTCAAAACTTTCAGAGTAGTTAACAGATATCGATTGTTACATCACGGAGAATGAGTTTTACTTGGGTCATTTTTAAATATACATATGTGGTCTTATCACTTTATTGAATCATATTCAGAAATATCACATTTTTGGGATGGCAAACTACATTTTTGAATGTTTCCTTAAAGTATTTATTAGTCTCTTTTTTAACGTATCTTTCATTACATTTACTAATTCCTTGTAATAATTGTATCTAATTATGAGAAAAAGTCCGATTTCTTTTAGACAATTTCGATTAAGTAAATATACTAAGACTAGAAACTTGAGATATTTCCATAGTAAAGTAATACCATTAAATTCCAATAACAAGTACCAAAATTGAGGGGAAAAAATGATTAGAAACAACACAGAATGTAAATCTTTGAAACAACACGATGTCTTGGTAATAAAATAGAAAGTATTCAAGCTTTATTTTTTTATTATTTTTTCTTGATATACATGGTATATACGATTTCCATAAAATGAATTCATATTGGTATCAATAGTCGTGTTTTGTTTTAAACCTTTGACCTAAGGATTCTACCTCAGGGACATAAACCTTTAAAGGTTTAGAGATAACATCGACATTGCACATCTGTCTGTATTGTTCGCTGCATAAAATGCATTTATTGGGCTATAATAAAAGTCATATCAGTTCATCATATCGGTATAAGGATGTTAATTTCAGCTTAACATGCTGTGAATTTGGACGATAAGCAAATTTACACAGTGGGAAGCCATACTGAAATTCATTGTCCATTTCATTTTGAAGGCTTTTCAACCTGTATTTGTTATTCTGTACAAAGTGAAGTATTTTGTATCGTTTGACCTGGCCTCAGGTCATAACCTACACTGGTATTATACTTTTCATAACGCACCAAAATACAAATTATTTCAAAACAATTTATCTTTTAATAAAATGTTTTAATATAAACTGTATAATTAAAGACTTTAAAAGTTGAAACACTGGGGGTTCTGCACAAATTCGAAATTCCAAATTAAAACGATGAAATACTACTTCAAACGGGTTTTCTAAATTATTTTTTAGGTTGCATTTACGCTATCAGGTACCGACTTTTAACTTTAAAAGAGGACTCATAGCAAGCAATTTATGAGTAATAAGCGGAAGGTTTAAATCTTAATATTGTTTTTCTTTAAAGCCAGATATCAGATTTTTTTTCAGGCATATTTCTTACATCATATAACTAACTTGTTAATATTTGGTTAAAAATAATACTGGTAGCCATACATGCGTATTCTCTCTCTCTCTCTCTCTCTCTCTCTCTTAGAGTGTTTTACAAAATCTATCAACGTGAGTACCAGCGAATATGTCAGTATGCATTCGTTGGGAGCAAAGATGGTTATTGCCACACATATCATCATTAGTAAACGGTTATTCTACTTTTGGACGTTTGTGAAAATTAGTATAGGAAAGTAAATATCGACTGAACAGAAAAAGGTACAATTTACAATTTTGTTCATCACATATTCAGTTGTTCTTCTTCATATTTATTTTGCAGGTCTTACTTAAAGCTTTCAATGGATTTTGCATAGTTGTTCCGAGATAGCGCTTGACGCCTAGAATGTCAGATGAAGAAAAGAATCAAGCAACTTTTACGCCAGTGTCAATGAAAATAATAAATTACAAACATAGCGACTATTCTGATTTGTGGTAGTATGTTGCTTAGACGTGGTCGTATATCATGCTTTTGTGGGCTTTTAAATATTTTTGAATTGTTTTGAGTTTGTGTGAATGTTCTGTTTTGTTTTCTTGACAAGTTCAGATGATTGAAATCAATACCTTGTCGTATAGAAAACGAGTGATAAATAATAGCGAGTTGAGAAAAAAATATAAAGTCTTTGTATTTCATGTCAGAAGTCTGTTATTAGCAAGCATTGCCCATTATTATATCAATGCCGTAAATCAGTTTTGAATTTGTCATAGCAAATCTGTTTCAAACAGCATCACAGCAGACTACAATATATAAAGTGGCTGTTCCAACCAAAATAGAAAGGTATGTTAGACTTGACTGAGGTTAGATGAAAATAAATGTTATTTCCTGGAGAAGTATAATTTATGTATTTATCTTATTCTGCCTAAAACATTCTAAACATTAAAACTATTTACTTATACAAATCCAAAAACTACTTTGGCAGGGTCTAAAGATGCCACTAAGCATTTTCTCTATAAATCGTTTGGGTTTAATTCAGTGTTAAAACTTCATATATATTTATTTACACATAGTCAGCAAAAGGATACCTTTTAAAAAAGAAAGCTTTGAACCTGAACCGCAGCATGTGATTTAGCAACGTGCTCCTCCTTTCACACACTGTATGTCATGGCTATAGTATTTATTTAACAACACTCCCATAATGCATTGTTTTATAACGAAATTTATCATCAAAAGCGATTATCTTGCTATCACGTGACACTAATGGAGCAAGAACTAAGTACCTTTAAGTTAGTTCACAGATATTTAAGTGATATTCGTGTTCCTTTTGCGTTAAATTAGTTTTCTGCCTTGTATTTTGGGATGTTTCTTTATTTTTTTAATGTGCTGCTTGTAGTGGTCTCAAAGTATCCCTTTCGGTCATATCTATGGGTTAGATCATTTACATTTACCGATGGCTTTCGCCAGAAAATAGAAATCTACCAATCTGTTATTTCTGACAGTGACGCTTTATCACTGATACCGATTGATAATCAAATTTTATCAGGAGTAACACGTCGGATGTCACAACTGGTTTAAGACCCGCTTACTTACCCTCCCGGAGCCTCTGACTTCAATCCTTAATTAGTGCTCAATCTTACATTATATATGTATTTTTTTAATGTAATGTGTCTTTTAGTCTTTTTTCTTTGGCCATGGGAGTGTCTTCTCTTCTTCCTCTTATTTTTACTGTTGTCTTGAAATCTTTTTACTTTTATATTGAATTTATTTTCCGTAATCACTGTTTCGATTGTTGAAAAATTCAGTCTTATATCATATTCTCCGTAAATTGTGTAAGAAGCTACCGTAAATGCGTTTCATTATTAGTAAAGTTTTGTAAGAGGTCTCTTTTCCGGTATGTTTTATTTTTTTTTTATTTTCAACTAACGGTATCAAATTGATATCAAGTCTCGCTACACTCCCTTCTTTTATTGAAATTTGGTATTATCTAAACTTAAGATTAGAAATCCGATATTTTGTATGAAAAAGAAATATTGTAAATTTCAAAAATGAACAAAAGCATATGCAAATGTTTGTTTGCTAATATGAATCAAAAATATTTAACATTTGGCTAAACAAGGTCAGACACATTGGTTTAACTCAAATATAAATATAATGATAAATATATTATTTTCTCAAAGTATTCAAGTAAATGAAATTTCCTATCATGCAAATGAGCTTCGCGCTCATTAAGGTTCTTCAATTTTTAAACATTATGATACTATTTATTAACGTATTGCATTAAACTATTATGTGAACTCAGTTTGTTGACAGATTGTGTTTTGCACTTTAATCAACATTATGGAAGATTTTTCTACAGCAAAATGGCGCATGTGCCATTTTCTATGTCGAAATAAATACAACAACAAAAAAACAGTAACTTGAAAGTTGGAAAACTAATACCGACATAAAAAAATTGATGGTAAAAGTAGTTTCCTGTTTTTTCATTAAATTTATTATTCATACTCTATGACTAAGTACCAACCTTTTCCAATTCAATAACGACCTTTACTTTTAATAATATTTAATTTGTGTTGTCTGATGTCATTGTATGATTACTATCTAACATTACACAATGTTGTATGTTGCTGTAATTGACAATATTATACGCACGTGTTAGGCAATATCAGTTTCTAATACCAAAGCCGTATAAATCATATTAATAGTTTATTTGGAGTAAAGACGGTAGGGGTCATTAGGAATGTACAAAACACGATGACATTTACGTGTTAAAAATCTATCAAATCTTAAGTGACATGAGATTTTTACGACTAGGGATTTTCTAGTATCTTTATAGAAACTCCATGATGACACTATGGCCTCTTTGTCTGTCTGGTTCCAGATTTCATAAATTTACAACTATTACAATAGTATTATAATAATCCTGTTATGTCAATTGTTACTATTAAAACAAGGTTTTATTTAGAAAGCCAGAATTATACCAAAATTTAAATATGAACACTTTCTAGTTGTCTTGTGTTGAATACATTCCCAGTCTTGGAGATGAAATTTTTCCGATTTATTTGAAAATTATATGCTTCCATTTATAAACATTCGATTACTTTATTTAAGCGAAAGAAAAACTGATTTACAATTTTATAGAGTCTCAGTGCTAACCTCTGATCATTGCTTATAAAGATATCTAGTGTATGTGATTGGTACAATTACCTTTGAAATTAACGGTACCCGTCCGTTGAGGACTTATCGCGACCACTCTTCTTATTCAATTTGCCAATAAACATATAAATTGGCAAACCTCAAATCAGTTATGAAGAAATAAGTGTTGATGGATTTGTTTATATGCTATATAAATCAATTTTCACAACATGTAGGGAACAACCTCAGTAGGCTTGTAGAAGCGTGTCAGTCTCGATGTCGGGAGGTCAAGTGTTTGATGTCCAAAGACTTGAAAATTGGTATATGCTGCTTCTCTGATAAGCACGCGACATATAGGAGTAAGAGCAACGACTGGTCTGGTCGGAGTCTGAATAATGTGTTGGGGTAGGGTAACATGTCTTACGGCGGACTATTACCTTGTGAACAATCACTTTCAAAATTCGGCTTAGCATGTCGATCTAGCACAAAACAGGGATTATATTCATAACTCTTTAAAATGTTATATTTGGTACTTGGCACAAAACACCATGCACAACCAATCATCGTCACCATCAAGTAGATATTAAGGAATTCCAAAGCGGTTATATAATTCCAAAAATAATAAATTATTTGAAAAGCAACTTATAACACGATGCAAGACAGTGGCAATCAAAACGACAAAATCTGTCAATTATATGTATTTACATTAATGTAAACCAGAAGTGATATCAGGAGCTCGGGCAGGACGAGTTACTCCGCCTTACGCAAACCCGGTTAAGATCAATAAATTCGATTATTTGTTATATGTATTATGTTTGATAAATCAATTCCTGGCTTAGAATTAGACATACGAGGAGAATATTTCTCAAGTTGCATGTATAAAAAAACTCAAAATAGATACCAGGATAAAAAATTGTGTACGCCAGACGCGCGTTTCATCTATCAAAGACTCGTCGATGACGCTAGAATCAAAAAAGTTAAAATATATTTAATACTAAACTAAAGTTATATTTGAGACACTCACTTTTTTGCAACTAATTTTCATAATTTCACCATAAACCTTTCAGTGATGATACTAGCATAGTATCAATGTAACGCTTAGTCTTTACTGAGATGGAATTTTCATTTCTTAAAGGAAGACATAATGTGTTCAACATCGAATGGACTGTAATTGTATACATCACACAATTTAAAAGAAATGTAAAAAGAAAAAAAATCACTTTTAAAATCGAGACGTTTGCAATCAATTGTGTAAATTCAGATAATTCAATACTATACATAAGCACTTTTTTATAATTATTTTTCTATTCTTTTTTTGCAATTGATGAACGATTGTGATGTTTTTTCAACAATGAAACCTTATACATTTATAAAGTATAAAGTTATATTTGTATTATCAAAATTTCAAACCTGGTTAAAATAATCAATTATTACTTATCTTTCCAAAAATATATATATATAGCGCGTTATTTAAGTTTTAATCTTATGCATGTCCATTATTAAAATCTATTTGAGTGTGTACTAATGACCAGTGATGATATACTTAACTTGTACCAAACAATAATTTCATCAGTTATAATTTATTTATTTTTGACACATGAATACGACCTTGTGCACCATTACACCCAAAACAATAAAATGTAATATTTTTTTATGTTTGTCGTTGTCTTTTAATTCAAAAAGATTATCGGTTTTAAATCAACCAGTATTGCAATCTAAACATGGTCAAGGAATTATATTAAAGGAACATTTTTCTTCAATGATCTTGTTCTATTCAAATAATGGCCACTGCGCGTGCAGCTCGCGTGCAGGACAATATCAGATGGACATTTTTCCAATTTGATCATTGACATCTCCGATTGGTTCAAGTGACCGCGAGGACAGAAAACACAAGATATTACAATATTGATACGCTCGTAGTATAAATGATCATTAAGAAACGATCGCAAACCACCCATCCGTAAAATGAATATTTAACAAATGATTATGGATGCTATTATTTGCGTATGAAAGGACTAAGAACAGTTTCTTATTGCTGATTGATTGAAAGTTTCTTAAGCTATATTGACCACGTGAATGGGAACAATAGAACGTTATCCGTATAAATAACTTACTATGCAGTCTTATTTCTTCACTAAAACTAAATCGACCGTACCCGTTTAATATTTATTCACACCAGTGCTTACTAAATGAGTATCAGATAGGAATCAGAGAATTGAATCTTAATGACAAAATGTCTCGATCTTTTTATGTCGATTCTTTGATTATGAAAAGACCAGTCACACAGAGTTTAGGCACCACTAATCCTGTGACTATAACTAGTGCTTTAAGACATTCTTTGCCTGCCTCCCATATGCTGCCGTCACATCCACTACCGTGTTATCCTCGGCATTCGACAGATATGTTGAGTTTTTGTTGTCCACTGTGCGTCCACAGTCCTGCGCCATTAGTACCACAAAGCAGTGCATCAATTCCGACAAATACACCAACAAGTTTTATTAGTACAACAGTTACGAGTCTGCACAACCAGAACTTTAACTTGCAAAAACAAAAATCATTGGAACACAGAAAATTAATTCAACAAACAGAAAAGGAAAAACCATATTCGGATATAAAGAAAAAGTCTATTTCCAATTTAGGTAAGTACGATAATTTCTAATTAACTGATACATATTAAAATTCTAATTAAATTCATTAAAATAATTTTTAAAAAACTACCAAAAAAAACTGATTTTCACTTTTTATTTCTCTCTCTTTATTTTATAATTTGTGAAGTTCGAAAGTCAATTTCTATTTTATATATTTTTGTTCATTCGATTTTCATCTTATGTCTTATATGTAAAATTATGTATTTTATAAAATCTTTTAAAGAGAAAATGCAAAAAACTTATATATATCTTAGGAATGTGTGAAAAGCTTTCGTCAAATTGTGAATTGCCTTGAAAATAATCAAGCATGTTTACCAATTTTTTACATTTGTGAAACAATATGTATGTAGTACCTTTTTAGTTTCATTTTTAAAAAAAATCGCAGTAGAGTGCTATCGTTAAATAACGAACGCATAATTTTTACTTTTTTTTTTAATTTTTCAATTTTTTATTTTTCGTTAATTGGGCTGAAATAAAAAATTTTTGGCATTTCATTGAAGACGATCCGTTTTTCGATTTTAAATATCATTCCAACCTTTCTGAAAATTACTATAAACATGATCATGTGTTGATATGATAAAAAAAAAATAGATAAAATAAATATTTGGGAGAACATGATTTTAGTTGTCATTGGTTTTGAACAAGCTTTAAGCAACTGCGATTTCAATAGATCGGTACCGTGTGTCTTTGTCTTTATGTTGATTGTTTTTGTGCTTCGTGCCGATCTAATTAGTCAAGCCATTTCCAACTGATTTTTACAGTGTGTTCTTATGATGTGATGTTACACCACTGTCCCAGGTTAGGGGAAAGTTTTGAGCTCAGAGACATGTTTGACCCCGCTACATTTCTATAATCGCCAGTTCCAAGTTAGTGGTTTTCATTGGTTGCTGTCTGTCATATTTGTTGTTCGTTTATTGTTTTTTCATAAATCAGACTGTTTGTTTTTGGTCGTTCAAATGAATCCAATTTTGTCATGTTGGGACCTTTTTTAGCAGACTGTACGGTATGGGGTTTGGTTGGTGTTTGTTGGATTGTGGCTCAGTGATAATCATACCACAGATCCTTAATTTCATATCCATTGTTCTATGTTACAGGTGTTACAAGTTCTACAGAAGATGTCAATAGTAGTAAGCGTATCCGAACAGCTTTTACAAGCAACCAACTTCTGGAACTGGAAAGAGAATTTAGTACCAGTATGTACCTATCAAGACTCAGAAGAATTGAAATAGCAACATATCTGAACTTATCTGAAAAACAGGTCAAAATTTGGTTTCAAAATCGTCGGGTGAAATACAAAAAAGAAGACTTCGGAGAAACACAAGAGAAGTGTAACTGTTTAAGGACATGTACTTCAAAATCAAGAAAAAGAAAAATGTCAGGAGATTCAATAACTGAATCAGAGGTATTTCATGAACATGAGAAAAATCAAACCATGGACGATTTATCTGTTTCTTCAGACGACATGGAATGTGACCATTCGTGTGATACGAAGTAGCCAAATTATCGGTGGTTTTCTTTGTGGGAGAAATGTGCAATGTAATAATATACGAAGTGCCATGAAACAATTTATTTGTGTAAACAATTATTTATATAAACTGCTGTCATTGTTTTATAAGAATTAAAATTATATTTCATATGCCCAAGTTTCTATGTTTTGGTCGGATGAATGCTTGATAAATTACACAAAATATAACCTTTTGCACTATTACAATTAATGTTAACTGAAACCTGAGGGAGAAAATCCTTCAGAGAGTAAATATTTCCTTATCACGATTTAATCACTCACCGTTTTGCCTATATTTGAAGTAAATATTTTTCTACCAGTAAGAGTTGATCTCACAAAAAAAATGTTTTCTGTTCCAAGCTGCAGGAACCTTTTGTTGTCAGTATTTACACAAATAAAATGGAAAAAAATATACTCTGATGCTAAATCGTCCGATTTATTTCGCTAAATTTCCTCCGACGCCTGTCCAATATATATTTATTTCATGCGGTTTATATATGTTTTTTTAGGTTTTGTCCCAAGTCAATAACGGTCTCAGCAGGAACATTATGTCGTCAGTATTATATAAGTAATAGTTCTAAAGTTTCATTTATTTTTCAATCTTCTCACTAAGTGTGAGTACAAAAATTCAAACTTTCCATACAAGATTATCACTGTATTCAGTTTTCTACACTACCTCAGGGGTCGACTTCGGCCACCTTTATGTCATGGGTGCATTCTGTACAATGACAAAAATTGTCTATGTTGCTATCTAGTACATTTTGACGTATTATCTTTTGGTTTATTTGATCTGTCCACGTTTATGTATAAACCAAATATTTGAACACATGGCACGTTCGAGTTGAAAAATGAAAATTCATCAATATAAGTAAGTCAGGTTTTTTTTCTGAGATGACAGTACCTTTTTCAAAATGCAAACAAAAAATAAATGAATTTCGTCATAATTTTTACATCGCTCATTTCCTTAAGAAAAAAACATGTTGGTCACTAGGCGTATTTTTATATTCTTTTTGAAATTTATGTTTGGATTGTTTTTTGCACTCTTTTGTCCACATTTCTATCCATATTACATATTGCATGCTCCTGCCAAAAAATAGTAGATATACAAACCAAGAAAAACAACAACGAAAACCGCACTTTCCAAAACACATGACTTGGTACAGGCACAAACGTGGTGTGGAAACCAGTTTTACCTGCTCATAAACCTCATCCTTTATCTATTTAGACCGAGTCTTCAAATTGTGTTGGTTCCCTATCTATATGATACACATTGTATAATACAAGAATAAAATGCACTTATTTTTACCTCAAGCTGATTTCAATAAGAGGAAATAAAAAATAAAAGGCAATACTATATAGTATACGAATCTCATTTCAAATTCACTAGCAGGAAAACACTGTAACAAACCAAAATAAATAACAAGAGAAAAACCGTAATCATATGATCATGTTACAGCAATGTAATGATTTACCGAGCCTCTCTGGTTACACAAACAATAATATAGTATATTTAAAATGCAACCTTTTTCTTTTACATTAAGACAAAAGGTATTGTATTCGATGGAACCCAATACAACAACTATTCCTCTAATTCTCAATTACATCAGCTTTTGTGACGTCCATGGCCTCATACAGTTCATCCAAATGATTAGTCTTGTATGAAAACAGGCAAGTTTACCACACACTGGGAGGATAGCATCATGTTTAAAGGTCCTACACTTTTTATCAAGTTTAAGGTCTTGAATTTATTTTTTCTAAGTGAAGAAAATACCAATGAAGGTGACAGTCAAAGACTATATTTCGAAGAAATATCGACAACCCCATTATCAAAAGAAAAGGACAACTAAAAATAGTCCACAAAATACAAAACAGAAACTACAGATTGAACAGCACGAACTTCATTAAAGCCAGTGGTGCACTAATATGCGTTGGAAGGTGCTGCAGTAATCGTTACCCGACTAGTGCCCTCAATTGTGTTTCTGTTAGAATATATTTATCAATCGAAATGATAATACTGAAATAAAAAAGAATTGTTGTCAAAATTTATCCAATTGTGTTTAACGCCTATTTATCCGATGTATGACGTTCTTCGTTTACGTTGTAACATAAAACCACGGTCTTCTCCTAAGAAGACGTGCCTCTCGTCACAATCTAAAAATTTGCATCGTCAGTTGTACTTTGAATATTGCAGGAGATTGAATTTGATTTTTCAACGGGAGTGAATCCATTTGTATTTGTTTACTTTAAATTAGGAAACACTTGGTTATTTTAGAACGTTTTTGCTTCATCAAATCATAATGGCCACCTTTATTTTTCGAAAACGTTTTACTTTAAAGGTACACTTCGAACAAAAAAATTCTGAATTTTCCTATTATATAGATTTCGTGTCATGCTCTTTGCTCATTTAAACATGTGTAGGCATTATATGTGTCAATATTGTCCACCTTGCACTCTCGGTATGAAGATATTTATAAATATATTGCCTACCCATGTTAAAATGAGCATTAGGTATACCATGAAAGAAGTATTTTTTTATATTTTGTCCTAAACTCTTCATTTGCACCGAATCAAAATAAGACCTTTGTATTCTTATTCGACCATGATTATAATTGAAAATTTAGACATTTGAAAATTAATACATGTCGATACAGAATTAAGAATATATATAAGTGCATAAACAAACAAAATCATAAAACATGCATTTACGATCTGGTATGTTTTAAACACAACTGTCATCTTATAGTTACAATATATAAATTTCAACATCGTTACAAGTAAATCAAAATAGTCGTAAATACTATGTATTTATTAACTCTGTATTTAACTGGTAAAAAAATATCAGGTAAAAACAATTGTACTGGTTATTTAAATTTACCATGCAGTCGACCTTTCTACTATACTTATATAGGCGTACAGATAACACGAAGCGATATACGTATACTAGACGTATATAGTCTCCTGGTATCCTGCTTCTGTTGCGAGCGAACGGTTATGTCAAATTACTGCTTACGTCACAGTTCAATTTGGGGTCCTCATTGCGGTCCGCGTTTAAGTCATGTCGATTTCTTTCAAAAACAAATTCAACGATTGGGATGGGGAAAAAATTACGAAATTAATTGCAGGATAAAGACAATAACTGTTTAGTGTCTTTAAATATCAGCTGAATTTTACTCGGCTAGAAACAGGAGTAATAGCTCGCTGAAGCTCGCATTACACCTGTGTCTTAGCCTCGTACAAATACAGCTGATATTTAAAGACACTAAAGAGTTATTGTCTATATATGGGAGTTTAAACTCTTTTGATTTTTTCCCTGATCAAGTGAGGCTGTTAAAAATACAGGGGTCCCTAAGTATGCGACATGGCCTACTTAGGTATTTATATATCAGGAAATGTTTAAATAAAAATATTTGTTATCGTAAAAAAGTTAAAAAAATAAGAACAATTTAACTAGCGGAAATAGATATAGGTTAAAAGGAAAAGTACTATATCTTTGTGAAAAATTATATATTAAATGATCCAAACAGCATTATTCAATATAGTACAATGTTTAGTTATTTTGTTACGTTGCGACAATTCTTTTTTCTTTTTTTAAATATGACGACATTTGTTACAAATGTAAATGATTAATAAAATGACTAGAAACTGAAGAAAAAACTCTGTATTTAACTGGTGTTGCATTATCTGGTGATCTTGTTAAAATCTAAACATTTCATTCACATGACCTGACCATCACTTGAGACCCAAATTAACTTCTGCAATGCCTATTAAAACTTTTATGAGTACGACCTTGTGAACTACCAGCCACCGAAGAGACACTTCATCTGCACTAATCGATACTCGATGGGTGGGGCTCTCATTCCTTGCACTGACCATAAAGTCCATTTAAATAAACTGTTTAGTATCAACAAGAATAAAATGGATATGAAAAGCGTGGCGAAGCCATAAAATAGTTGTCCTTAAATAATGAAAATAAACTTAAAGAAGTCTGTGGTAAAGAATTCTTTTCAGGTCAAGAAAATATAATTATTGAGTCAACAATAAAAACCTCCGTTCTGTCGGTCAGTTTATTTCTATTGTTGGCTTAAATTGGGGAATAAAATCGTCAAAGTAACAATATGAAAAAGAAATATTATTTTTGATTGAGTTTTATTAACATCTGTTGGTAGCCCAAATTAAGTTTAATAGGGAGAACAAATTAGTTTGTTAAGAATTTCACAATGGGTCATCCCATTTAGTAAATAAATCATGTATAAACATTTATGGATTAAAAATGACCTAATACTTCCAAGGCACATATGGTAAGTTACGTTTAAGTTGAACGACCCCAGCTTTCCTAGGTTCTTTTGTTGCATTTTTACATTTCATTCTTATATTTTTAATTTTATTTCATTAGACCATGTGTACTAAGGCTGCATTGTGTTTGTAGGTCTAGCGATTTAACAATCTCCCCGGTGACCAAGACATTTTCTGTACCGCAATTGGTTTTTGTCTTTACTTTTTAACAAGGTCCTATGTGATTTAGTTCTGACACCTGAAACAACAGCAGTTAAGTAGACGGACCAACAATGACCTTAACATTGTCATTTAATTCAAAACATTACAATGTCCATTTGGCCATCACAGCATGGACAAAAAATGAAGTTAATCTAGTGGAAAATATACTGAAAGAAGACGTTCAAAGTTGGACGTTTAAAAGCATATCACATGCCAACTTTTAAATCTGAGTTAATCGAGCATCTATGAAAACATTCAACATTTTCTCTATTTTTATGAAAATGATTCAAGATCTATGAAAACTGAACAATTTCAGAGTTGATTAAATCGATCTAAATGTCTGATGTGTCTTTAAAGATTTGAATAAACAATAATTTAAAAATATAAATAATTTGACATAAAAACGAGCGATCCGTGTGCTGCCTCCGTGACACGCACCTGCTTCTGAAGCGAAAACGTATACGTCATCTTTGACAGAGCTGATTTACGTTTTGTAGCGTAATGTATTTTAAAAAAGAGTAAAATTGTACAATTGTGTAATAAGTGGTTTGAAGTCAGA